CGCGCGCATGCATGCACGCGCGCATGCATGCACGCGCGCATGCATGCACGCGCGCATGCAGTCACGGCTGCCCCGGGACCTTCCCCACGCCGCGGCTGCATGCGCTGCGCACCATGGGTTCGAACTTGCTCGCGAAGCCCCGCAGCAGCCGGTGCGACCGCCCGCGCCAGTTGTCGTAAGTTTGGTGGATGCTGTTCCGCAGCTTCTCCACGCTCTCGTCGAAGTGCACGCCCTGCCGCCACACACCCGCACGCGGGCCCCATGCACCACCTCCCGCCTCCCGGGGGCCCCGGGGGCCCCGGGGGCCCCGGGGGCCCCGGGGGGCCCGGGGGCCCCGGGGGGCCCGGGGGCCCCGGGGGGCCTGGCTACCAGGGGACCCCTGGGGGCCCTTGTTCGCTCCCGGGGGAACCCGGGGGGCCCTCACTCGGGGGGCCGCAAGGGGCCCCGGGGGGCCCTCACTGGGGGCCCCCTGGGGGCCCCTGGGGTCCTCAGGACGGGCCCCCGGGGGCCCCCTGGGGGCCCTGGGTAGGGGCGCTTTTTGGGGTGCTGCGCTTACCAGCGGACGGTCAGTCAGCGTCACTTTCGTCAATTCGTCGGACACCTTCTCGCCCCACCTTTGCATGTTTTTCTTCATCTGCAGACATCCAAACCCGCGGCCATATCTGCTGCTGCAGCAGCAGCAGCACCAGGGGCCCCGGGGGGCCCCAGCGGGCTCTTGGGGGCCCCAGGGGGCCCCCCCGGGGGCCCAGAGGCCTCAAGAGGCCCTAGGGAGCCCTACGGGGCCCCAGGGGGATTTTGGAGGCCCTAAAAGGCCCCAAAGATTCTTAAGGGGCCCTAGGAGGCCCCAAGGGGCCTTAGAAAGCCCCCGGGGGCCCCCAAGGGTGTTAGGGGCCCTTAGGAATAGGAAGGCTTAGGGGGGCCCCTGCGGACCTTAATTGCGTTGGCTTTGGTGTATCCAATGTTCATGTCTTTAGGCTTGACTCCTCGAGAGAGAGACCTGCGTTGCATGCGCAGCAGCCACAGCCAGACGAGCTCACGAGCTGCTGCTGCAGCTGCTGCTGCTGCTGCTGCTGCTGCTGCGGTAGAGTGGGGGCCGGACCTGTCGACGTAGTCTTCGTAGTTCTGGAGAATGCGGACGATGATGTCAGTGGTGGAAACTCCCTGAGTCCTGACGGTGGCTCTGAACTTGTTCTGCAGCAGCAGCGCAGCGCAGCAGCAGCAGCAGGTGGCCGCAGCGGGAGCAGCAGCAGCGCGGCGCCCGCCAGCAGCAGCAGCAGCAGCAGCAAAAGCCCACGCTGCTCTTCAGCCACCCGTAGATGTCCCCGCTCTCAGCCTCTGCGGGGCTGCTGTTCTTCCGCCTCTTTCTGTCATCTTTTTTTTTCTCCTTGCACTTCTGCACTGCAGAGTACGGCTCCGCGTCGTGCGCTGCGCAGCACCAGCACCCACACACCCTCTGCTGCTGCTGCTGCTGCTGCTGCAGTTGCTGCTGCAGCAGCTGC